TCATGTAGAGATCCTGATGCTTTTTGCAATTTTTCTGGTCTGAACGTGATATGCTAAAATGAATATAGTATATGGTAGAGAATTATGTGTAAGTCTGTGCATGTACAATGTAGGTGAAAACACCCCTTCCTCTCCTCATCCCCCAGTGATCTTATAACCCCTCTGAGGCACTGTCTGCCCCATACCACATACTGTTCTTTCTGGTGAGAAAATGCAATTATTACTCCCTCCCTTCCATTTTCTATTTAAGGAAAGTTCTTAAAATATATGAATTACGTGACTTTTCCATCTCAAATAAAAAGAATTCTTTTTATAGATCAAGAGGCTGAATGCTTGTTAATAACAGTAAAATTTTCCATGTGCTTTGTATCAAAGGGGAGGCTGACTAAAGTATGGAGATGCCTTTATGGCAATAATAACAGCAGCAGATGAATAATTATAAAAGTGAGATGGAATTGAAAGGCATTTTAATTTGTCATTACTTCCCTATGTTCTGAAAGGCTCTGGATAATTACGCTGACTCTAAAAAAAGGGAGTGTGTGATATTTTCCCTCATTATGAGATTAAATTCTCAAGGCACCCCTTTTTACTATAAGTTAAAATAAAGATTTCTCTGGCTTCCTCTAATGATGTAATCATGCCTTGAAAACTGTTCAGCTGCTGACACATTCGGTCTTCTCACTTACATGGAGAATGCTGCATTGCAAGCTTGTTTGAATTGGAGAAAGTGAACATTTGTTAGTGTGTCTCAGCAGTTTATACAGATGGGATTTGACTTGTTTGTTTTTTTGAGGACTATCCACCTTTTTGCTGCATTAATTTGCAAAGCCAGGAACTACTGTAAGATTGTCCTTAAGTCATAGATTGAATAGTGAAGGATGTTGAGAAATTTTGTAAATGAGGTTTTATGATAATAATTGTAAAAAAAAAACAACAAGCAAACAAAGCTCTGGGAACCCAGGGGGCACACAGAGGCAAGATTTCAAAGCTCTCTTACTCAATAAAACATATTTTATGTGTATATTCTCTATGCCCTTCTTGCCCATATTGCAATGATTACATGCTCCAGTATGGTCTGGTTACCTGGTGAGAATGTTTCCTAACAGTTATTTTCAGAAGAAAAAATTCTAGAGGAAAGCTATGTATGTTTAGGTGAGTGGCTGGGTATTTCTTCGGTGGGAACCACAAATGATCAACCTTATGTCCTTGCCAACTGCTAAACATTTGAATCAAGTAATAGAACTTGGTAGTTGGTCTAAGCTCCTTACTGACTCCTGGGCTTGGTCCCAGGTAGCAGTAGTAATAGCAGTAGGAGTAGTAGCAGTAGTAGTGGTGGTGGTAGTAGTAGTAGCAACAGTACTACTAGTACTAGTAGCAGTAGTAGTAGTAGTAGTAGTAGTAGTAGTAGTAGTAGTAGTAGTAGTAGTAGTAGTAGTCATCATGGCTAACATTTGTATAGCACTTCAATGTTTGCACAGGGCTTTAACATGTTAAGTTATTTAATAAAAGCAAAATTGCCTATCATGTTCATGTATTCTGGGATCCAGTGACATTGACCTCCTTGTTGTTTTTCCCACATAATGCTCCATCTCCTAACTCTGGGCATTTTTGCTTGCTGTCCCCCACTCTGGAGCTCTCTCCTCACTTCTGTCTCCAGATTTCCCTGCTTTCCTTTAGCCTTAGCTTAAGCCCCACCTTGAAAAGCTTTTTGTAGACTTCCTCAATCATAGTGCCTTTCTACCACTGATTATCTCCAATTTACCCTGTCTATATCTTGTTTGTACATAATTATATTATGTTGTCTTCCCCATTAAATTGCAAGCTCCTTGAGGCTAGGGCCTGGTATTTTTTTTCCCTTCTTTGTGTCCCCAATGCCTAGCACAGTACCTGGCACACAGTAGGTGCTTTAATTAATGATACTCCCTGACATTCTGGCTATCCCAGAAGTCAGTTTTCTTTCTCATCCACAGTTCCAGCTGCTTCTGACTTTCATTCTGACCTTGGACAGGGTCATCAACCTCATTCTCCTCTGCCTCTTCAAGTCACTGTAAAGAACTGGGCTTGGCCTCTCCTCGGAGTCTGTTGCATAATTGGTTGAGTTGGCAATTTGTTGACACCTGAACTCTTTCTATTCACTCAGCTGAGAGAAGTCCTTTGCATCTCAAACATTTAAGTGTCTGCCTTCCTCCAGGGAAATTTTGTAAAAGGGCAATTGTATCCATCATTCTAAGAGACACTGGGTATTCCACATGGAATGAGTTATAGAAAGGACCTGAGCTGGGGGACAGCATCATAAAACTTGGCCTTTTCATAGTAAATCCTGAAGTAGGTCTTCACCTTGGAACTTCATTATGTTTATAGATTCAGGTTGGAAGAGACTATTAGTATCATCTAGTCCAAGTCTCTAATTTCACCCTCCAAATACACCAAGAAAAAACTGAGGCCCACAGAGCATATAATTTGCCCAAAGATGCAGAATTGTAAGTCTGGCCTTAGCACCCAAGTATGGCATCAAGTCCAGTGCCATTTCTGTCACATCATACATTCACTCCCCCATCCCCCACCCCAGATTAATCTTCCCTAATGGCATTCCACTACTTAAAAACCTTCAATGGTTCCACATCAACTACCAAGCAATGGACAATGTCTTATCCTGGCATTCAAGGCCTTTCATAATCTAGTTTCAAATTTATTTCCTAGTTTCATTTTATACACACACACACCACACACACACACACACACACACACACACACACACACACACATTTCAAGTCTCTGACTCCCCCATGTTGCACTGTGTAACTTCTTCCCAATCTTCATCCATCCAATCTTTTCTTTTCTTCAAAGCTCAGATCAGACATCATATCCTTCATGAAATTTCTCTGATTCTGCCGTGTAGATGTGACTGTTCCTTACTCAAATCTCTCATACCCTTTCACTTAGAGACAGAACTTGAAAAAGAAAAAAAAAGACTGAATTTGAACCTCAAGACCTTCCAACTCTATCTACAATGTCACACTTTTTTTTCATTCTTTGATGTCAGTAATACAGTATGTCAGTAATACGTTAATTCCTTTCTTAATTCAGTAATATAGAGTATAGGTACAACTATCCAAATATACCAAGGTTCAAAGACTTTTTTTTCAGCTGAGTTAAGGAGAAGACTCAAGAGAATACAGAAAGGATGCAAGTAAAAGGATGTGCATGGCTCCCCCTGCCATAATCTGGCACAAGATCTGCATCATATCTTTACATCGTCAGTACCTGGCATAGCACCTTCCACATAGTAGTTATTCACTAAATGTCTGATGAAGTGAGTTGGCCAAATTCTCAAAATACATGGAAAGTATGGGTATCTAAACAATAGTATTTAAACCTATTTTAAGCAAAATAAAATTTTTAATTATTTACCATTTACTGGTTTTTATTTACCATTTTCTCCCATTCATGACTTTCTTCTCTTAGGGTTTGGGTTAGGGATAGGACATGTGAGTTCAATGATATAGGACACCCCCAGTGTGAAAACTCCTTTCCCTGATGCAGTTCAGCAACCTCCTGTAACTTACAGTCTTAGAACATTGCTTGGGGCTCACTGAGACCTTAAGTGATGTTCTCATGGTTACACAGTGTGTATAAGAGAGAGATATTGAACCCTAAGACTTCTATCATGACACCCTGCATCTTCCTTTTTTTTCCTTTAATGTCAGTAATACAAGATAGATTCTAGGTAAAAATCATTCAAGTATTGCAAGGTTCAATAACTCTTTATTTGAGTAAAAGATAACTTTCTTAATTTCAGCCATTTCTCAAATTGAATCTTAACAATATCTGAAAATAGTTCATAGCTGCATGGTGGCAAAAATTTCTGCTCAAAGTACAGGTATCACCTAGAGTGAAGATGTATGCTTGTTCAGGAGACTGATGGTTCTGATTTCTAAGTGATGAATTATCGCCAGTCTTGATAAGTAGGTTTAGCACTGAAGAATCAGGACAGCCAATGTATTCATCATCTTCCTATTAAAAACTCTACCTGAGTTTTGCTTCTCATTCTAAAATTAAATAAGAAGCCTCCAATGAGGCAGAGCCTAGTTTCCCACACCTTGCATCCTGCTATCCTCCCACTAAAGATCAGATTAAATGGCAGCTTGAGAAAGGTTCATTGTTTTGAACTGGTAGGTGTTTTTCTAGGTCCCTGTTTGACTTGAACTAATGCCCTTTGAAAGGCAAGCTGAAAACAATTCTCACATGGCTAGCTTGGGAAAATCTGGTTGGATGGATTGTAAGATTTATTAATGACAATAGCCTGACTCTTCTAACATCATTCTTATCCTAACAACAGGGTATGTTCATTGTATGTCATCAAGGTTACCTCTTAGAAGATGGGTGTTCACACCATATATGCTCATTTCTCTGAGCGGTGTCACTAGCATGCTATTAACTCTATATCCCTGACGAAAGAAATTCAATTTCATTTATTCTTGTTTTCTTCTAAGGACACTTAAATTAATTTAGTGCTTGGAGTCATAGCTTAGCAAACTAAAATTCTCTATAATCCACTGACTGCATTGGCAAGATTCCTCTTTGGTGTCCTCCACTTCTGTTCTATAATGATTCACCTGCAAAACTCGGATTGTTTGGAATTAGGAAGACAGGTTTTAGAAGTAAAAGGAATTTTAGAGAACATCCATCCCAACTTTCTCTTTTTACTGCTGAGAACATAGAAGCTCAGAGGTAAAAAGTGATTTGCCCAAGGTAAGGCAATCAATTAGTGGCAGAGTCAGGACTCAAACTAAGATTTTCCCAATCTAAGCCAAGTGTTTTTGGCTACCAAGACAAGAAACAGTACAGACAAATTTGAACCAAGATCCTATGATACCCAGCTTAGGGTTCTTTTTACAATAGCTGAGAAACTCTTTTGTCATAGTCAAATGTCATGAGAGATGTTGGAATAGATAACTGTGGTGAGGAAGGTAAGCCTTTTTTCCCCTTCTGTATTACAGCCTGAAGAATCAGTAGTGAAAACACCTGGGATGAGAAAACAAGGGATGAGGAAAAAAAATCAGGATTACTTCTGCCAAGGAGAATCACTTACCAACCAGTGGAGGAGGAGTCTTTCTTGGACAATGAACATTTCTTAAGTGGATTCACAAATTAACATAGTAATTTTAGTGTGGGGAAACAACTGGATTTTCTTTCTTTAAAAAACAAATTCTTTGTGGTAAGTTAAGATGGATTAAAAAATTTCTTGGAAAAAAGATTCCACACACATTCTCAAGTATAATGCTGTAGCAAACGGCTAAGGAAGAATATAACTCAACCTCAAAGACAGCAGAGATTTAGAACAAAAGAAACCCCACAAAACACACACAACTTTTGGGGTATTTATTCTAGATTTCTTCAGAGTATAATTATTCTGTTAAATTATTGATGATTGTGATGTAAAACCATCTTCCACCAGAAACAAACGTTATTCCTCCACCATGTTCAGCATGATTGGTGTCAATGGGCAGAGAACCAGACTGAAGCTCAATCAATAGGAGATGTATAATGGATGAATCCCATGCCTCCACATGATGCCTTTAGAAATGCGGATGGATCATGCCAACTGAAAAAGGAGAGCTTGGAGATAAAGGGTGAAATCACCAACTCTTTTCTCTGTCATTCAAGTACAGCTTCTCAAGGTTAAAACAAGGGTTTTCCCTTAAGAGACCAAAAGAATGTTAAATATAAAGCATGAAGGGAAAAGCCAGCCCATGGGATGGTGCACACACTACCCACCCCGCCACCCCCCCCCACAACAGTTGACTCCAGTTTATTTCTTTTCCCCAAGGCACCAGATAAAGAAAAGAAATCCATTAAATTGAATGAAAGTAAACAGGTGTTTCCTTTGACGTGAACTTGAGTCATGACCTTTTAATTTGGGGTGGATTCTGGTTATACCTGCAGAAGTGAATTTAAATGGAAGGCAAGAGAAGGGATGTCAGTTTGGCCAGAGCACTGGGGTGGAGCTCTTTCTGTATGCTTCATTATTCCTTTCTAATGTCACTGTCCTAGGTTTCTTGGAGGCTCCCACAAAAATGAATATGTAACTCATATAAATTATACATCAGTGCTACAGTTGGTGCCCAGGTAGAGTTCACAAAGACATGGTAAGAGCAGGGAGTCCTTTTTCTGACTCTGAGAAAGAATTTGGATTTTCTAGATTGTGGTTGCTATTTTTGTAGAGAATGGAGGTGCCTGAAACTCAGTGAGTAATAGATGAAATGTTTCTCAAAAGAAGGCAAACAACCATCTTAATAACTTGGACTTAAACATGATACCTATCTTTTGAAGAGGAGCCTCTGCTGTCCACAGGCTGATCAAGTAAAAACCAAGAGGGGCACAATGCTTAGAAACATCAATAGCCAAGCAAGGGCTGTCCAACATGAACAAAAAGAACCATGTTCCAGCTGCAAAAAGGCTGATGTAAATGCTTCAGAACACCTGACAGCCTCCCATCCCAGCAAAGGTGGTTTCCTTTGGTGTGTAAAATATACCTTGTCAATTTTGCTATAAAGTAAGCAAAGTCTGTATATGTGTATGTACATAAATATATTAAATAGTGTTTGTTTCTTTATGTGTGCAGTGAGTGAGCTGTGCAGTCGATGAGCTGGAACCCTGAAGTGTTGTTGTTGTTGTTGTTGTTTTCAGATAACCTAATACAGCATATGATTTTATTAACTATCAACACGAAATTCTCCAGTTTCGTGTTGAAAGCACACCAAGCCTTTTGCTGATAAGTCTCCCAATTTGGACCTAAGCATGTTTATTTCAGGATGCTCTTGCCTAGGGACATCACCACATTTCATCTGTCTGACTGCCAACTGAAAGAGAGTAGTTTTTCCCTCAATGATTGGGACACAGGAGGAGGTGGGCTTTAACATTCACAGACACATGCATATAGGATGAAATATTCAGCATCGCCCAAGAAAGAAACAGTCAATTACAGTTTCCTTTCTAGTGTTATCAGGAAAGCCAGAATCAGGGCCAGAGATGGACCTGTCCTTTTTTCTGTCATTTAGGCTACCATGTCATGGGGCAGGAATGGGGGGAAGTCAGGGCAAACTGTCTGGGTATTTGGATTGGAGAGAGGGATCATATTGTGGGCTTTTCATTATTTACCTCCATAATGAACACATACTGACTCACTCCCTCAGAACCAAGCCATCTACATGGAGGGTACTCTGAGGGGTTGGGGGTTATCTCTTCTTTAATGCCATGACTTGAGCCTCCACTGGCTTTGTTTTCCCCCTACTTCTAGACCTCATTGGTTAGCATCCCAAGTACCATTAAAGCCCTTTAAGGTATATTTACTTTGAAAATATAGCAAGAACATATTTGATTTAAAAAAAAAACAACCTTCCTGCCTTTCTGTTTAAGATCTTATAAATCAACCCAATCCAACAAGTTTTTTTATTAAGCCTCCCAAATACAGGCTATGTCATCCTGGGCTAATGATTAACTCCTCAGTGCTCTCGGGTAACTTTATAAGATACTGTCACAGATCTTCATTGGTAGAGGAAGTTTCTACACTGGGAATTCTATGTAAAGATGAAATCACAGGTTGGAATCCTTTCCTCCAATCCCAAAAAAAAGAAAAGAAAAGAAAAAAGAAAATGAAGTAAAAATATGTGAATCCTCTGGTAGGCACTGGAGATATAAAAAACAGACAGGTACCTGTTAAGCTACATGTGAATGGGGAATTGTTTAATACATGAGAGAACCACATCAGAGAACTTTAGAGAGATACTCATTTTTACCATTTTCCACATAATGTCTTAGAGCACTGGTGTCAAATTCAGATAGAAACATATCTTGAAGGCTGTAAATTGACTTAGAAATTGCAAATTAACATTATACTTGTTTTATGGTATTTTTACTTATTTTTTAAATATTTTCCAATTATAATTTAATCTGGATGCATTCAGAAGTTTTGCTCTGGAAGTTTGACACATCTGCCTTAGAGAGCAGAAGCAGGTCTCACACAATACCACCTGATTCCAATAAAGAACAATGGACAGGAGAATGGGAGGAACGCATTTACAGAAAAACCACACTTACATAAACTAATTGGGGAAAGATCTCATATTAGGGAGCAAAAAATGTCTGAATTATGAAACACTTAAAAAGAAATTGAATTATTTTTCAAATGCATATGGCAACTATGATCAGTTCATTTGAATAATACATAATAGAAATGTTGTTTCCCAAGCATGAGCCCACAGCAAAATTTTATCTGGTATGTAAAATTTGAATTATCAAAGATCTTTTCTTCTGTTCTTAAAACTTATTTTAAAGCCAAATACGTTCAATAAGTATGCACTAAGTGCTTACTATGTGCCAGGAACTGTGCTAAGCCCTGGGGATAAAAAGAAAGGTAAAAATCAAAAACCAAACATGGTACATGCCTTCAAGTAACTCACAATGTAATGAATCAGACAACATTCAAACAACGATGTGTAAAGAAGACATAGATAAGTGATAGATAGATAGATAGATAGATAGATAGATAGATAGATATAGATAGATAGATAGATAGATAGATTATCAATGGAGGGAAGGCTTAAAAGGGTGAGGCTGCTCGCAGAAGGTAGAATTTTAACTGAGTCTTCAAAGAAGCCAAAACATGGAGCTAAAGGGAAATAAAGTTCTAGGCATGGGAGACAACCACGTACAGAGTGAGGAGATGGAATGTCTCAGGTAAGAAAAAGCAGAGACCAACATCATTAGACTGCAGAACATCTTGAGGGAGTAATGCACAGGAAGACTGGAAAGGAAGGAGGGAGCCAGGTTACAAAAGGCTTTAACAGCCAAACAGAGGATTTTATAATTGATCCTGGAGATGAGACGTAACCATTGGAATTTATTGAAAGGGGGTGGGGTGTTGGTACAATCCTGTTTTCACTTCAAGAAAATCAATTTGTCAGTTGAGCTGATGATGAAACAGAATATGGAGAGGACGAGGCAGGGAGACCAGTCAATTAAGGGGCTATAGCAGTTGTCTAGGCATGAGGTGATAAGGGCCTGAACCAGCACAGTACACTTACCTTTATTTTCTTTAATTTGTTGGAGACAATTGAATCACACAGCTAGTAAGTGTCTGTACCTGAATTTGAACTCAGATCCTCCTCACTCCAGGGTCAGTGCTCTATTCACTGTACTACCCAGCTTGTGCTCTGCTGGCATAGGCTTGAAGACCTGAAGGTCACCTGCATGCAGGGATGTGTTGGAGCCAGTTTATACTGTGTAAGCTAATTGTTAAATTTTCAGTGTTAGGCTTTGTATCTCATTGGAAAACAAATCAGTGCTTGATTTAGCTTTTGTTGACTGTCTTGACCAGCAGGGTTAAGCTGAAATATAGTCTGCAGCCCTAAACAGATAAAAACATACTAGGAGATATTTAACGAAATCATTAAAAATAACAATAGAACATAGAGGATGTCAATATGTTGTTTTCTAAGCCAACAGGCTGCTGCAAGGATCCCTGCCTATGGTTTCTATTTGAGTTTGACACCACTGCTCTAGACTTAGGAAAGTGACAGAGAAAATCTTAATGATGCAGATTAAATGTAAAGTATGCCTTGCCTTTCTGGAAAACTGATTGTTGAACATTTACCAGCACATCTCTGCCTCCATGCCATAATGGATCATCAGAGGAAGACATAAGTAGAGTCCTGTCTAAATTATAAGACAATCAAATAACCCTAGGGAATCCTAGATTTCCAACCAAACTAAGCATCTAGTATGTCTTTCTTTTTAAAAATTTCATAGATTTTAATGGTATTTTTTTCCCATTCCATGTAAGGATAATTTTTAATATTCATTTTAAATAAAATTTTGAGTTTCAAATTTCCTCCCTCCACTCTCTACTCCCTAAGACAGCAATTTGATATAGGTTATATATGTGCAATCATGTAAAATATTTTCATATTAGTCTGGTTGTGAAAGAAGAAACAGTTTGCAAAAGAAAATACAGTTTGCAAAAGGAAAAAAAATGAAAAAAACAAAAAGTGAAACTACCATGTTTCAATATGTATTCAGACTCGATCAGCTCTTTCTCTGTATGTGGATAGCATTTTCCATATAAGTCTTTTGGAATTGTCTTGGATCATTCTATTGCTGAGAAGAGCTAAGACATAGTTGTTCATTGCACAATGTTGCTGTTACTATGTATAATGTTTTCCTGGTTCTACTTACTTCACTTTGCATCAGTTCATGCAAGTCTTCCCAGGTTTTTTCTGAAATCGGCCTGGTCGTCATTTCTTATAGCACAATAGCATTCCAATACATTCATATATCACAACTTGTTCAGCCATTCCTTAATTGATGGGCACCCTCTCAATTTCCAGTTCTTTGCCACCACAAAAAGAGCTGCTACAAATATTTTTGTAGGTGTAGGTCCTTTTCCCTTTTTATGATCTCTTTGGGTTACAGACCTAGTAGTGGCATTGCTGGATCAAAGGGCACACACAGTTTTATACCCCTTTAGGCATAGTTCCAAATTGCTCTTCAGAATGGTTGGATCAGTTCACAGCTTCACCAACAGTGCATTAGTTTCCCAACTTTCCCACATCCCCATCAACACTAATCATCTTCCTTTTCTGTCATATTAATGAATCTGTTAGGTGTGAAGTAGTATCTCAATCTAATATATCTTTCATCATTTAAAAAAACTACACCATTGTTTGTTCTTCAGTGGCCACAATGATGGGATGTGGGGGTGGAGGGAGGAAGGCAACAGATCACGACATCAAATATGTATTCATGGCTTTGGTGCTCGTGATATAAGTGAATAAGCCACTTATTCTTTCTTTTTCTTAGCTGCCCCTACTAGAATTATACAGTGCCCCCTCGCAGGAATATGTGTGGATAAACTAATTAATAAAAGCCAAGTGCTTTAAAAATATACAACTTTATAGAAATATTCCCTTAGTCTCCTTTTCTATGATAGGATTGCAAGATAAGTCAACAATCTCTATATGTATTTGTCATATTCCTCATCATAACTTCTATTTAACAAACATTTATCTGCAAGGTACTATGCCAGATCCTGGGGACATGATGACCAGAATAAAGCTATCTTTTCCTATATGTTATTGAAGAGGAAAAACATTCAGAGAAGCAAATAAATAGTAATTTGAGGAGAGACAATTAACTAGAGGGCTTAGGGAAGGCTTTATAGAGAAGATGCCACCTAAGGTGAAACTTGAAGGAAAATATTCATTTTGATAAGGACAAATGAGTAGTGAATGCACTACAGGCATGTGGAGTGACTTATGTGAATGCAAGGAAGCCTGGAGATGGAATGTCAAGATCCAGGTGTAATTAGTTGTCTAGTCTAGATGGAACAATTGACTATGAAGGAGAATGGTGGGAAATAGGCTGAATAGGTAGATTGAAGTTCTCATAGATGGTCTTAAATACGAGGATGGATTGGAGAAGGGAGATGGGGGAGAACAATTAAGAAATTCTTCAAATGGGGGCTGATGAAAAGACAATAAGTACCTTAACCAGAGTGAGGACACCATAATTAAAAACCTAGGTGAGTAGAAGAATGATGGGACTCTTGTTGTACATAATAGATTTGCAGTTTCATGTATAATCATGTTTTTCTATTCTTCTATGTTATGGAAATGCTTGTTTTATTTCTTAAGTTCAGAATAAAATAAAATAAAAAATAAAAATAAAATAAAGACGTAGGGAAGGGCAGTTATTATAATGTCATCAATTAGCTTTTTAAAAAATTAATTAATTTATTTTTAGTTTTCAACATTCACTTCCATAAGATTTTGAGTTCCAAGTTTTCTCCCCGTCTCTCTTCTCCTTCTACCCCAAGATAGCATGCAGTCTGATATAGGCTCTACATGTACATTCACATTGAACTTATTTTCACATTAGTCATGTTGTAAAGAAGAATTAGAACCAATGAAAGAAACCACAAGAAATAAGAAACAAACAAAAAAAAAAGAAAAGAAAAAAGAGAGAGCAAATAATATGCTTTGATCTGCATTCAGACTCCATAGTTCTTTTTCTGGATGTGGACAGCATTTTCCATCATGAGTGCTTTGGAGTTGTCTTGGATCCTTGCCTTGCTAAGAAAATACGAGTCTATCAACATTAGTCATTGCACATTGTGACTGTTACTGTGTACAGTGTTCTCCTGGTTCTGCTCACCTTACTCAGCATCAGTTCATTCAAGTCTTTCCAGGTTTTCCTGAACTCTGTCTGCTCATCATTTCTTACAGCACAATAGTATTCCATTACATTCATATACCACAGCTTGCTCAGCCATTCCCCAACTGGTGGCATCCCCTCAACTTCTAATTCTTTGCTACAACAAAAAGAGCTACTATAAATATTTTTGTCCATGTGGCTCCTTTTCCCATTTGTATGATCTCTTTGGGATATAGACCTAGAACTGGTATTGCTGGGTCAAAGGGTATACACATTTTTATAGCCCTTTGGGCATAGTTCCAAATCGCTGTCCAGAATTGTTGGATCGGTTCACAACTCCACCAACAATGCACTATTGTTTAAATTTTCCCATATCTCCAGCATTTATAATTTTCCTGTTTGGTCACATTAGCCAATCTGATAGGTGTGATGTGATGCCTCAGAGTTATTCTGATTTGTGTTTCTCTTGTAAATAGTGACCTAGAAGATTTTTTCAAATAACTATAGTTTTAATTACTTCCTCTGAAAACTACCTGTTCATATTCTTTGGCCATTTCTCAATTGGGGAACATCAACTAGTTTTCAATGAGAAATGAAAT